GCGAGAGGAATCCACGTCCGGAAGTGACGTGCTTAGCGGCAGAGTTTTCTGCGGAGGCGATAATACAACGTACCCATTGTATCTCATAATTGTATATTTGCTACATATTGTCTTGTGCTACATGATTATGTCTCCCCCCCTATGCCCCCCCCGGGCTACGCCACATCCATCGACCAAACCTGGCGACCTCCTTGTGGGACCCCGAAACCTACCAAAACCTAAGAAAAATCTACGATTTCGGCTTCTTGGGCCTCTAGGGGGGCCACGAGGGCGTCAGGACGGCTCAAGATGGCCCCGAGACGGCCCAACACGCCCCAAGACGGCCCAAGATGGCCCCATGAGGGCCTACAAAGATCCTAAGACGCCCCAAGAGGGCCCCCAGAGGACCCCCCAGAGCACCTCCAGAAGGCAAAAACCTTTGATTTTCCTATGGCTTTTCGGAGATGTCAGCGTTCCCGCCCATTTCGACTCTCAGAGATCCAGGACGGCCGAAACAGCCTCCGAAATAGCCCCCAGACGGCCCAAGAAGCCCTCAAGAGGGCGCCAAAACGGCCCAAGAGGGCCCCTGGACTGCCCAAAGAGGCCGCCGAGATGCCCCAAGAGGCCCCCAAGACGGCCCACGACTACCCCAAGACAGTCTCCGAAGGGACCAGACAGCGCAGGAGCGCCCCCAAGACGCCCACACGGGGCTCCGAGAGGCCCCCAAGAGGCCTCCCAGACGCCCCCAAGAGGCCCCAAAGAGGCCTCCCAGACGCCCCCGCGAGGACCCAAGGGGCCCCAAAGAGGCCTCCAAGGGGCCCTCAAGAAGTTCCCAGAGGCCCGACAACGACTGGACTGCACGTGCTCCGGACGTGCACTCCGCAAAAGCGAGAGGAATATTCTAGAAGCCCTTTAGTTATTTCAATGATCCTTCAGGAAACCTTCGCGAATCCTTGAGAAAGCCCGATCGACTCCTCAAGGAATTTCCGGGAATTCCCAGGAAGGGTTCAGGAATCCCCCCTGGGATCTGTGAGGCGTGTGGGGCCTGGAGGGGTCTGGAGAGGCCGAAGGACCCGCGGGGGGCTGTTTGTGTGTGTGATGTGTGTGTGTGTGTTGTGTGATGTGTGTTGTGTGGTATGCGTTGTGTGCTGTATGTTGTGTGATGTGTGTTGTGTTTTATGTTTCGTGTGCTGTCTGTTGTGTGTTATGTGTGTTGTGTGTTGTGTGTAATGTGTTGTGTCAGCTGTGTGTCGTGTGTTGTGTGTTGTGTGTTGTGTGTGCGCGTGCGTGTGCGTGTGCGTGCGTCTACGTGTGCGTGTGTGTGGTTGTGTGTCGTGTGGTTTTGTGTGTGGTGGGGGAGCGGAGACCGGCAACATCAACAGCATGTCCCGCAAGGGTCGCTGCCGGCCCGGCCGCCCCTCCCGCGGTTGCATCTCCCGCTCTTGAAGTCGCCGCACGCTTTGGACTTCTTGCCAGCACCGCCTGGCTGCACCGAGGCACGACCGCACTCGGACACAAACGCCACAGGAGGCACGGCGCATCGCATGTCGCACGTCGGTCTGAGCTTGCACTGGGGCTTGGGCTCGAAGCCGGCCTTGGGCTTGGTATTGGCGGGTAGACATGGGCTGGGAAAACTGAGGCCCTCCTCATCCTCCTCCTCCTCCTCCTCCTCCTCCTCCTCCTCCTCCTCCCTATTATTGTGCATCTGCACGTGATCCTCGTTCTTCTCCTTCGAGCGACTCTGTGTGCAGCAGTGCGTCCATTACAGGGGAGGCTCCACCTCCACCGATCGGCAAAACAACGAAAAACAAAACGACCAATTACGATTCAGGCTTGGCCATGTTTGGAGTCGGGATTTGGCCGACCTGAGGCTGGGTATTGGCGGGTCGACATAGGCTACGAAAACTGAGGCCCTCCTCCTCCTCCGTATCGTGCTCCTCCTCCTCCTCATCCTCCTACCTAGGCCAGGGCTAGAGTTACGATTCGGGCTCGGCCATGTTTGGAGAAGGTTTTAGCCAACGCGAAGGCCAGGATCCGGCTGGGCTGGTTTACCTCAGGGCCGGCTCACGCAGGCCAGGTCATAGTCGTGGGATTGGCGTGAATGGGCTGTGACTGGGCTCCGATCGCTTGGATATCATTCGAACCCCTGGGCTTAGAAGATGAGGATGACCCAACTCTCCATCATGTGTTTTCTCTTTTATTTCTCTCTCTCTCTCTCTCCCTCTCTCTCCCTCCCTCCCTCCCTCCCTCCCTCCCTTCCCTCTCTCACACACGAGTGTTTGTTTTAGGGATTTGTTTTTGTCCCAACCCTCCTTGGTTGGGTATTCGTTTTGAATGAAGCACTGCTCGCGCGTCATTTCTTCCTCCCGCCTCCCGCCTCCTGCCTCCCGCCCCCCCCCCCCCCCTTCTCGTCTCCTCTTGCCTTGCCTGGAGGGCTGCGACCTGCGAAGCCGTCGCCACTTTCGACGGCTGCTGGTGGGTGGGTCCAGCGAACTGAGGCACCGCGCGGACCTGAGCGGAACCTGCCCGTCCCTGGGGGGCTGCGATGTGCGAAAGTGTCGTCACTTTCGACGGCTGCTGGTTGGTCCAGCTGAGTGAGGCACCGCGCGGATCTGAGCGGGACCTCCCCGTACCCGGGGGGCTGCGATGTGCGAAAGTGTCGCCACCTTCGAGGGCTGCTGGTGGGTCCAGCGGACATAGGCACCGCGCGGCCCTGAGCGGAACCTGCCCGTCCCTGGGGGGCTGCGATCCGGAAACTGTCGCCACTTTCGAGGGCTGCTTGTGGGTCCAGCGGACTGAGGCACCGCGCGGACCTGAGCAGAACTCCCCGTCCCTGGGAGGGTGCGATCTGCGAAACCGTCGCCACTTTCGAGGGCTGCTGGTAGGTGGGTCCAGCGGGCTGAGGCACCGCGCGGACCTGAGCGGAACCTGCCCGTCCCTGGGGGGCTGCGATCTGCGAAAGTGTCGCCACTTTCGAGGGCTGCTGGTGGGCCCAACGGAGTGAGGAACCGCGCGGACCTGAGCGGGACCTTCCCGTCCCTAGGGGGCTGCGATCTGCGAAACTGTCGTCACTTTCGAGGGCTGCTGGTGGGTCCAACGGAGTGAGGCACCGCGCGGACCTGAGCGGGACCTTCCCGTCCCTAGGGGGCTGCGATGTGCGAAAGTGTCGCCACTTTTGAGGGCTGCTGGCGAATCCAGTGGGGTGCGGAGGGTGGCACCGCGCGGACCTGAGCGGGACCTCCCCGCCGTTGGGGGGGCTGCGATCCGCGAGACCGTCGCCACTCCCGAGGGCTGCTGGTGGGCTCGCCACTTTCGAAGGCTGCTGGTGGGTCCAGCGGAGTGAGGCACAGCGCAGACCTGTGCGGGGCCTCGCCGTCCGTGGGGGGCATGTCATGCTGTTGCTGCTCTGCCGACGTGTCAAGCCCCTTGCCCACCGTCTGTTTTTGGACCTTGCGTCTTGCTTAGTGACTCAGGGGTTCACCTAGTTACTCATCGTGTTTCCCTTGAGTGGGGGCCTGCGAACCTTCCGAATGCCGCTCGCAGAAGTGTGTGCGTCCATAGCACGCCGCCGCCTTCTCGTCAAATCTTCAAAGATACTCCTGCCCCGCATTGCGCAGGGGTTGGGTACGTCGACAGGGTATTGTTTATTTGGTCTCTCTCTCTATATATATATATACATATAGCTCTCTCTCTCTCTGTCTCACTCGTTATCTCTCTCTCTCTCTCTTCCCCCCTTCATGTTCATGTTACCGATACACGTACCTCTCCCTCTGCCACACTACCTTGTCCCCGAAGTCTGCCGTTTCTCCTCCCCGCTCTCCCTGGGGGGTCTGCCATCTCCATCCAGATTCAATTGAGCGGGAAACTGAGAACTGGCTAGAGAGGGCGAGGGTAGCAAAGGGACAGAACAGACGGGTGGGGAAACGAGCGGCGGAAGAATGGAAACAGTGTGAAGGGTGAGGGCGGGGAGGAAATGAGAACGCTGGACGAGGAGAAGCAGGAGACACCGTGGGGTGGATAATGACGATCAGCAGCGGGGGGATGGCAACGGGGGATGAGGAGGACGGAGTCGGAGGCACGCCACGGATTCGGTCCACTCTTGGACGAGCCCCGAAGTCAAACTGCAAAAGAACACTCGATCTCCTCCAGCGTAGGAAGCGGGATACCGCGATCGAGGAGACATCTGGGATGGTCAAGGGGGGGCACCACTCCGTCAAGAGGGACGGCTGCGCTTTGAGGTGCTCTAGCCGCCCGAGTATCATCCAAAGGTGACCTGTGTGTCGAGCCGGAATGCGCTCCACACTGCCGCAAGCTGATACTGAAGCGTCTCGGAACACTCCTCCCTGGCACTTGTCTCCAGCCTTGAAACTGCTCCGAAGAGGCGACAAAAACTGACGACTGGTGGCGCCGATCTGGCGATGCCACCTACGCCGACAGAAGGCCGACTCCTGAGAGCTGCAACACATAAGACCGCACAAACGCGACACCATCATCCCACGGAACCTGGCCCATCCCGTCCCAAGCAAGCAACGTTTGACAATGTCTCACATGACCCCCTGCACCGCCCCTGATGACACTTTGAACGGCTGGCAGCAAACGCAAACCTTGGCTGTTGTCACACTGCCAAGAAGGAGGAGTTGACTGCCAAGGCCATGTCCGTTCCCTCTGAGCAGCCAGTGCTTGCTCATGGTTCAGGGCGGAGTGTATCACCCACAGGTTACTGAGTCGTTCAAGCCAGTGCTGAACAATACGAGATTCTCATCGTACCCGTCTCTGAACAGCCGCTGCACAGCCATGCTGCAAGTTGATGCTGGAGCGTCCCTGATCACTCCTTCCCTTTCTCCTCCTCCTCCTCCTCCTCCTCCTCCTCCTCCTCCTTCTCCATCCCCCGGAGCTGCCCGCCTCCTTCCCACGTGTTCAGAGTTCCCTCAAAAGGCGGCTAGATGCTGGCGACCAGTGGCACCGACGGCAAAACGGGCCCAAAAGCGTGCTGACACCTCCAGGAATAGGTCATGATTATACTAGTTCGCGCGTGCGCTGCGGCCCCTCCTCCCCGTCCTCCCGCTTTGAAGCTGGAAGCTCTCTCCAGCCTTGAAACTGCTCCGAAGAGGCGGCAAAAGCTGGCGACTGGTGGCGCCGATCTGTCGATGCCACCTACGCCGACAGAAGGCCGACTCCTGAGAGTTGCAACACATAAGACCGCACAGACGCGACACCATCATCCCACGGAACCTGGCCCATCCCGTCCCAAGCAAGCAACGTTTGACCATGTCTCACATAACCCCTGCACCGCCCCTGATGACACTTTGAACGGCCAGCAGCAAACGCAAACCTTGGCTGTTGTCACACTGCCAAGAAGGAGGAGTTGACTGCCAAGGCCATGTCCGTTCCCTCTGAGCAGCCAGTGCTTGCTCATGGTTCAGGACGGAGTGTGTCATCCACAGGTTACTGCGTCGTTCAAGCCAGTTCTGAACAATACGAGATTCTCAGCGTACCTGTCTCTGAACAGCCGCTGCACAGCCATGCTGCAAGTTGATGCTGGAGCGTCCCGGATCACTCCTTCCCTTCCTCCTCCTTCTCTTTCTCCATCCCTCTGAGGCTCCGCCTTCTTCCCACGCTTTCAGAGTTCCCTCAAAAGGCGACAAGAAACTGGCGACCAATGGCACCGACGGCAAAACGGGCCAAAAGCGTGCTAAGACATCCGGAAATTATTTATGATTATGTGAGCTCCATTTTTCTCGAGGCCAGGTGGGTGCTAAGACGCCGATCCAGTAGCAGTTCGCCCGGCAGCCGGGACACAGAAAAGCCAGAGGCCGCCTTGGGAAACCTCAAGCACGGCCGCTCGACCTCTCCGAGACCTGTGCAGATCCGCAGGGAGGGAACTTAAAGGAGGGGGCGCTTGAGCCATCGAGGTCACGGACATACAAGTCGACACGAAAATGCAATGCCGCGGGACCCTGCGAAAAAACGACCCCTTTTGGCTGAAATGGGTCGTTTTCTCCGGCGGCACACATTCGTGAGGCGTGACCCCAAGGCGGCCCATCCCCGAGACATTAGCTAACAAAGGCGTGAGAAACACTTGGCATGTGAGCTCCATTTTTCTCGAGGCCAGGTGGGTGCTAAGACGCCGATCCAGTAGCAGTTCGCCCGGCAGCCGGGACACAGAAAAGCCAGAGGCCGCCTTGGGAAACCTCAAGCACGGCCGCTCGACCTCTCCGAATTTGCTCCAAAGCACACTCTGGCCGAAGGCCTGGATTATAATTATCCGAATGGTTTAGAGAGCGGGCGAAGGATCTTGTCAGCAAAACAACGCACAAACGCGGAGCAGAACCGTGAGGGATAGGGCTCTGCGAGCTTGCTATATTTAATGCCACAGGGATGGTTGCCAATGATTTCTACGTGCCGCTTGCCAGAGAAAGAGCATACGCCTCGGCCGCAACAGGTTACACTGAGGTGCCTGCACGAGAGGTGAGCACGAAGAAACCTGGTGCGCTTGCGCCAGGGGGCCCCCCAGGCGCAGTAGTCAGTGACACAAGTGTCGATATCCTGGGTACTGGCCAGGCTCTCGAACGCTTTCACATTCCACAGAAGGCTAGTGTGGGGATTCTCGACGACACAAGGGATGCCTAACCTCCTGCAAAGGTCGAGGAGGCTGGAGGCAACTTTACACAAGCGATTAGCTACGTTGACGACGCGCTGGTCTGATGGGGAGAGGGAAGGAAGGCCGAGAGGAAAGGCCAGGGACCGAACAGGCGAGAAGAGGCACCGGAGGGCCGAGAAGGAGGAGCAGGGAGGAGCCAGCCAGACAGCAGCTATCAGACCAGCGCGCGCCCAACATCGAATTTTGCGAACGAGGCTCTCATTCAACAGATCGAAGTGAGCACCGTGCCGGATGTCAACTTCAAGTATCTCGATGTGCTTCAGGGCGGCAGAGCGGCGCCAGGCACGAGTCAAGCGCCCTGAGCCTGAGAAAAGTTCCAGAGCAATCTGTCGCCCGCTCAGCGCAGCACGCCGGACGGCATCCTCAAGATGTTCGAGCCGATGCTGGCCGCAGCGGCGTAGGCCCGGCGCTGGACGGCCTCCGACGCCCGCTGCAGCTGCGTGGGCAGGAGTCCGCTCTTCTCGTAGCGGCGCACGCTGCTGTCCGCCGCCCACCGCCCCCGCTTCTCGATCTCGGCGAGCGGGCGGGCGCGGGTGGCCAGCTCGTGGCTGGCCCCCCCGTGGCGGAGCTGATACAGCGTAGGGCGGCCCAAGGCCGCCGAGGCCCGCGTCTACCGCGGCCCGGGAGAACAGGGCGGCCCAGGTCGCGTACGTCAGGCCGAGCAGCGGCTGCGTTGCGCTGCGGCCGGCTCGGAGGCGGGTCAGGAGGCCTCCCGCCCACCAGAACTCCGTGTTGTCGTGGCTCAGCGACTCGTCGAACTCGCCTGTTTTGGACGGGGTGCTGTTCTCCGACGCATTCAGCAGCAGGGTCCAAAGGGCGAGGGCTCTGGGCCCTCCCCGCGGCGGCGGGACGGCGTCCTTCACCCGCGGGCGGAGAAGCTCCGACGGCCGGGTGTAGAACACGAAGCACAGGAGCGTCGCCGCAGCCGCCGCCCAGTGGCCCTGGCCGATCAGCGCGTCCGCTATCAGCGCAACGAAGGGCCACGGGAGGGGCCAGCGCGACCGGTGGGGCGCCGCCCTCGAGAAGCCCAGGAGGGCCCGCCTCGCCCGCGGCAGCTCTGGCGCCTTCGGCGACAGGTCCTGCCAGCAGTACGTCAGGGCGGCCAGCAGGAAGGTGCCCGCGGAGCTCGGGAAGCCCTCGAAGAACTGCTCGTGGAGGTAGGCCGTCACCGCCGAGTCGAGCTGCGTGGTGTTGCTGATCGCCATGTTGGCCGTCGCGCACCAAAGGTAGAACTGGCTCACGATGTGCTTGTACCGGTCCTCCTGAGGCTTCTTCACGGTGCGCCTCTCGAGCAGGGTCAGGCCGTGCTCGTCGGTCGCGGGCTCCCCGCCGTAGACCCTGCGGCGCCGGACTGCTCGGTCGGCTCGCAGGTTCGGCTCGATCCCGCGGGAGGGCGGCGGGCGGCCCGCTGCAGGCCTCTCGCGGCACCTCCGGCGAGCCGAGGGCGCGGTCACCGGAGGGGGCGGCGTGCTCATCAGAGGGGCCGAAGTCGACGCCGAAGGCCCGGCCAAGGCTGGCTGCAAAGGCGCGGACGCGGCGGTCTCGCTGGCCGTAGGAGTCCCCGCCCAGCGGAGCATGCCTCGGCGCCGGCAGCGCGGCCGGCGGCGGGTCGGCTTCGCGGGGCCAGGTCGAGGCCTCAGCCCAGCCCCCCCTTTTGCGTCTCGAGCCGCGGTCAGCGGGGTTGCGCTCTGAGGGGGGCCAGCGCCACCGAGAGGTCATGTTGAAGGCCAGGTTGAGGCCGCCAATCTGCCGGCAGACTCTCATCAGCTTCGAGGATGATCGACCCTTGGATACGGCAAGGATGCTAGCCATGGCGTCTCCCAAGAACAAGTGGCGCTTCCCGAAGTTGGCCAGGGACCGCGTCTTGTGGAGGTAGGCCAAGACCATGCTGCGGCCCTCGAGGATCACCTGGGCCTCTGACCGGGCCCATCTCTTAGCTAAGACACGGCGCCACTCGACATCCCACGCGTCCGAGCCGACGTCGAGCGCACCCTCGGGGACCTCAGGAGCAGGACCGTCTATAGCAAAACCACCAAGAGTAGCCAGAGCAAGAGCGCGGTCCCGAGGTCGATAACCCAGCTCGTCTTGTCGAGAAAACCTCCACCTCTCGTTGAACCGACCGAACGACTTGACGACGTCGACCGGCACTCTCTGCTGCACGATGCAACCTCCCCAGGACGACGCGTCGACGGCGAGGACATCTTCAGACCAGGCAGCCCCGAGATCCCGAGAAGCGAGAAATATATGCCCAGCGGCCCAGCCAAGCTCACGGCGAACAGAAGCCCACAGCCGGCGGCGACGGGGTCCAGCGTCAGCTGCGAAGGAGTAACATGCAGAAAACACGCATAACAATTCACGGCGTACAAGTGCACGAGTCGTGTAGTGCGACATAATGACAGTTAGAGTGTCCCCACTTGCGTACCCCTCACTGAGAATCTGCTGAATGGCCAATCTGATCCTCCAGGCGACCCAGGGGCTCAACCCGACAGTAGCATTCTCGTCCGAGAAAGTCCAGCCTAGAGCAGTGGTGCCGGGACCAGCCTCAACTGGATGAGTGGGAAGGTCGACCCCGCTCAACTCCTGCTGAACCGCTCCCGCCACCCCTCTGACGACTTCTCGATCCTTCCCGAAGGCGAAAAAGTTGTCGACATACTCCGTGTGTGCGAAGGGCTCCAGGCTGGGGGGGGAAAGGTGATCGACGACAGCGTTCTTTTCTGAGACGCCAGGCACCAGCCGGGCCCGATGCTCCAATACCTGCTGACACGCCCAAAGAGAAAGCTTCCAACCCATCGGGATCACCTTCAGGACTGGGAAGAGGTATTGGCCTCGTCTGATAGCCCGGCCCTGGGCTGACGAGACATTCGCCAGGTCGGCGCGGATCCGAGGAAGAACGAACATGCCTCGAAGGGCCTCTGGTAACTGCATGTTGTAGAAAGCGTTTACGATATCGACCGAGCCGACCTGGATGGGCGCAGCGCTGTCAACCTCGATGGCGGAAAAGGCGGCCCCAGAGGCCAGCGAGACAGGGTCGCTGTCGCGAAAATGGCACGATGGTAGCCGACCATCGACAATCAAACGATATCTTCCTGACTTCTTATATACGAAGAACAGGCCGCAAGAGACCTCGCCCGTCAGATGCCACTCGATCAGGTCACAGTCGGCCATCCTGCGCAGCAGCTCCGCGTACAGGGCGGGCGACCGCTTGAGGGCGGGGTCGGAGTAAGGCCGAGCGGGTCCCTGAAGTTTAGCTATCTCCCTGCCAGTGGATTCTGGCAAGCGCAATTGAATCAGTCGCTCAGCAATCTCTTCGCCCCGATCTCCAGCCAGATGCCCAAGAGAACGCGAGACCGACCCAGCAGCCGGCAAGTCGATCAGGTGGACGGTGTCCATGCTGAGGGGAGCGATCACGGCGCCTTCGCCGTAAGCACTCCTAGCCCGGAGCGCTCGCAGGGCTCCTGGGCCGCTCATGTCGTCCGGCGGCGGGCCCATGGACAAGACAGACCGGCGAATCGAGTTGAGACTGGCCTGCTGACTCCCCGAAGGGCCACGATTCATCCGTGGACAAGATGAGCCAAGGTACAAATCGTTCAACGTGCCGGCAATTTCATCGCACACCATATCGACGTGGTTAGTGCGCTGTAGCCGACGACGAGTAGACCTGCCAAGATGTACAGCGGCTCCACTAAAGCCTCGATGCAAAACTGCATGGGGACGAGGAAGAGGCAGCAAGTTCCGCTGTCGCTCGTCTGCCCCAAAAGGATGGCTGAGAGCGGGCTGCCCCCCGGTCGCCAGTCCAGGAGGCCCTCCCCGAAGGTCACGTTCGCGCCGGGGATGGCTGGGAGGTCTCTCCAGCCCCGGAGGGGTGAACATCACCCCGACTCCTCCTTCCCCTTCTTGCCCTGCTTGGCCAGCTCCGCCCTCTCCTCTCGGGCCTTGCGGACCTGCTTGAGGATGGCGGCGTCGCGCTCGACCTCAGCCGCCACATGGGCGATCAGGTCTGGGCAGACCATCGCCATGCCTGAGTCCTTGGTCACCCCTGAGAAGATGGCGGCTTCGTCGAAGACGGCGTGCTGGAGGAGGCCGCGCCGCCCTTGCCCTTGCCGTTGGTATTGGGCCCACGCATGGCACGGAAGTCCATGTGGTACACGTACTCTACCAATTGCGCCTTCCTGAGCAACAGCTCGATGGTGGCGCTGATGCTGACGTCCACCATGTCGTAGCAGAACCCCTCGTCGAGGCACCTCATGGCCGTGTGGTGAACCTCGACGCCCCAGTCCTCGGACCGCAATCCAAAAGTCATGACGAGCGATCGGTGATGCTCGAGCGGCCCCCCTTGGCGCCTGAAGAGCCACACGCAGCACCACTTCACCGTCCTCGGCCCGGGCACGGGCCAATCGGGGAACGGCGACTCTCGAAGCTGTACGTCCGAGCTGGTGAAGCGGCTTCTCGCTCGATCCTTGGAGGCGATGACCGTCGCCTTGCTGATCCTGAGGTCGTGGTGGCTCTCCATCACCATGTACTCCTCCACGGGGTGCGCCTGCAGGTCGCGGACCAGCACGGCGACGCCTGCGGGCGCGGTGAAGATGCCCACCTCGCCTTTCACGACGTCCGTCGCCGACAGGACGACCGGGGTCCCCCTGGAGGCAAAGGTGGTCGACTCCACTGTCACCCACTGCGCCCCGGCCGCGGCAGGCGCGGCTCCGCCCGCCAGCGGGGCGGCCCCGGCCGGGCCTGCCGCGGCGGCGGGCTGGCCGCCGGCGGGCGCTCCCGCGGCCGGCGGCACGAACGGGGCGAAGGCGCCGCCCGGCGGGGCCACCGCTGGCAGCCCGGCAGCCGCTGCCTGCTGGATGTACAGGTCGTCGGCGGCCTGACGGGCCTGGCCCATGAACGCGGCGAGCTCCGCCGCGGTCGGCTCCCTCCTGAAGCGGTAGGTCTGACCGCGTGCAATCCCTGGAGGGATGGTCCGACGATCCGGCGAGAACCTCACAGCCTGGTAGTCGGGGCTCGTGCCGTCCACCAGCTCGAAGTAGACGTCGGCTGCAAGTGGCCCAGGACCCGTCGCTGCTGCCATCCTTGGTCCCCGTTGTGCAGGATCCATGCCCAGAGCTGGACGGCTCCGGACGCCATGGCGGCGAGTGGTCCTGACGGTCAAGGAGCCGCACCAGCCGATCACGACGAGGATGCCCGAGGCCGCGATGGATGCGACCGCGCCTGCAAGGAGGTCCCAGAGACGCCCCGGGGCAGCCGGCGCCTCGAGCGTCGGGCAGGCCGGAGGCTCAGGGCACGACGCCTGCACTGGCGTAGGCGCCCCTGGGCACGCCGGGCAGCTTGGCACCGCCGGGCACGTCAGCTGGCAGGTATATGGCGGGCACTCTGGACAGGAGGGCGCGGCGGGGCACCGACTGAGGTAAGAGATGACGCCCGCTCCAAGCCAATCGGTCACACGGTTCAACATCGGAACCGTGCGCGCGCTTGAGCCATCGAGGTCACGGACATACAAGTCGACACGAAAATGCAATGCCGCGGGACCCTGCGAAAAACGACCCCTTTTGGCTGAAATGAGTCGTTTTCTCCGGCGGCACACATTCGTGAGGCGTGACCCCAAGGCGGCCCATCCCCGAGACATTAGCTAACAAAGGCGTGATAAACACTTGGCATGCTAGTTACTAGTTAGCATGTGCGTTGCGGCTCCTGGGGGGCCCGACTCGAAAAATACCCCCGCGAGATACCGGTCACGGATGTCCGTGCTCCTTGGGGCGATCTTCCAACCAGCAAGATCGCGCCAGGAGCGTCCCAAGTGGCATCAAGGGAGCTCCGAGAAGGCCCAAAGAGCATGGAGCAATGGGTGGCAGACACCAAGATGTCCCGAAGACAGTCACCAGAAGGCCTCAAGATAGCCCCAAGATGGTCCCAGACTGCCCCAAGAAAGCACACGAAGGCTCAGTGTCATGTATCCTCCGACGTATTTCAAAGGATTATAACGTCACCACCTTGTCGAGCTTCCGATTGCCGCAGTCAGACCAAGAGGCTCCCAAGAGGGGGGATCCGAATCCGTAAGTCAAGCCCTTCCCCCAAAGATACCCCCCGAGACTACCAGAGGCTCCCAAAAGGCCCCTGGAGGCTCCGAAGAACCTCCCAAGAGGCCCCCAAGATGTCCCAAAGAGGCCCCGTGAGGCTCCAAAAGTGTCACCGCGGGCACGCAAGCAAGTGCCAACGGTGCAACAAGATGGGCCCGCGGAGTTGGCGAAGCGATCCGCCGCCCAAGTGGGCACGGCGTGTACGATCTCCGCCGCATGGTCTGGCAGGACTGTTTCCCCCCCAGTCGTGCTACCCACGCCCTCCTCGTACACTAGGAGCCCGACCACAGGAAACCTTCACCAGGGACCCAACCCTGAGACCCCAGGGCGTCCATAGACTTCTGGCTCGGGAACGCCACGCTCTCCATCGCAAGAGCACCGCAACCCCCAAAAAACCGGGGCAACCAGGAGGCAAGCAGGGTGTCTTGGCTTGGGTCTCAGACCCTGCCGGGGTCCTCCCCGCGGCCTGCTCCTTCCGACAGCCCGGGGCCTCCGCTGCATCACGGGCGTTTGCTCGCCTCCACTGTTCCCTCAACGAAAGCACGCCTTCGCACGGGACTTCAGGGACTCTGGAAGCGCTCCTGGACACTCTCTGAAGCCTCTTGGGGCCCTCTTGGTTTCATTTGGCCCGTCCTGGGTGCCCTCTGGAGCCGTCCCGGACTCTCCCGAGGCCCTGTTCGGGTCATGTGGGGCCGAAAACCAGAGGATGCCCACAAACCTTCAACACTCGAGAGGACTTTGATGATGTTGGCCTTTTCGGGCTTCTCTATTTGCGCCTCTCGGGGCTCTCCTGGAGCCTCTCATGGAACTCTCGGGGCCTCTCTGGCCACGCTGGAACATCTCCGAGGCCTCTCGAGCTGTCCTGAAGGCCTCTCGGTCACATCTTGGGCCGCCTGGACGTCCTCAGATGCCTCTCGAGCCGTCTTGGGCGCAGGCGTGGAGTCCCCAGAGGGCCTTGTGAGGCCCCTGCTCCCTCTTGCCTCTCCTCCTCCCTCTCCGGTTGCATCCGCCGTTTTCGACGCCTCTGAGTGCCGCTCGGGGCCGGCTTCAAAGCCTCTCGGTGCTCAGTCTGGGGCAATGTCTGGAGTTTGGGGGGGCCCTCAAGGGCCGTATTGGAACCCCCTGTCGCCCTCAGAGACCATGTCAATGGCCCTCCTCTTCCTCCACCAAGCCTCCCAGCGTCTCCACGTGTCCAAAAACGTGGGGCGGCGGTGTATGCCCCCTCAGGGGCATTCAATTGGACAACAGGCGACTAAACAGCGGGGCAGCGGTGTCTGCCCCACTGGGCGCGATCAAATGAAGAACAGGCGACAGCTGCCACCGATCTGGCCACTGTCACATGCACGGACTGAACCACTTCGTCGTATCCCGAGAGCTGTAAAACATAAGACTGCACAGACGTGAAACCATCATGCCACCGAATCTGGCCCATGCCGTCCCAAGCAAGCAACGTTTGACAATGTCTCACATGACCCCCTGCACCGCCCCTGATGACTCGTTGAACGGCCGGCAGCAAACGCAAACCTTGGCTGTTGTCACACTGCCAAGAAGGAGGAATTGACCAAGGCCATGTCCGTTCCCTCTGAGCAGCCAGTGCTTGCTCATTATTCAGGACGGAGTGTGTCATCCACAGGTTACAGTGTCGTTCAAGCCAGTTCTGAACAATACGAGATTCTCATAGTACCTGTCTCTGAACACCCACTGCACAGCAATGCTTCAAGTTGATGCTGGACCGTCTCTGATCACTTGTTCCCGTCCTCCTCCTCCTCCTTCTCCATCCCCCTGAGCTGCCCGACTCCTTCCCACGTTTTCAGAGTTCCCTCAAAAGGCGAAAAGAAACTGGCGACCAATGGCACCGACGGCAAAACGACCCCCAAAGCGTGGTAAGACCGCAAGAAAGCATGTATGATTATACTAAGTCGCGCGTGCGTTGCGGCCCCTCCTCCCCATCCTCCCGCTTTGAAACTGGCAATTCTCTCCAGCTTTAAAACTGCTCCGAAGAGGCGACAAAAACTGGCGATTAGTGGCGCCGATCTGGCGATTGCCACCTACGCAGACAGAGAAGGCCGACTTCTGTGAGCTGCAACACATAAGACCGCACAGACGCGACACCATCATCCCACCAAACTTGGCCCATCTCGTCCCAAGCAAGCAACGTTTGACAATGTCTCACATGACCCCCTGCACCGCCCCTGATGACACTTTGAACGGCCCGCAGCAAACACGAACCCTGGCTGTTGTCAGACTGTCAAGAAGTGGGGACTCGCTGCCGAGGCCATGTCCGTTCCCTCTGAGCAGCCAGTGATTGCTGAATAATTATGCAGGACGGAGAGGGGAGTTCACTGCGAAAGGAACATCCGCACCCTATGAGCAGTCCTGGCTCACTCGTTCTTCAGGACGGCGCGTGTGGAGGGGGCCGGCGAGGACTAGCACAACGCTGAGGTCAAACCAAACGTTACACCCTGCGAAATGCTTAAGAAATCATGGGTTAAGAAATTCATAGTCTCAGAACTTGAATAAAAACCCAACAGTTCTATGAAAATCTTAAGATTTACACTGAAACGTTAAGAATAATCGAGACCCTGGCCGAAAACGTAAGTTTTCTTAAGCATCGCCTGAGGTGTACGCCAATCCACAATAATCCCGCGAAACATGAACGACCAGCATCGGACATCGTCAGCTGCTGCGGTGGCACTCCACAAAAGAAGATTCCGTCTTGAACCATCGCCAGTACCATCCTCCTCCTCCTTCCACCCTCCCCACGTACCTCTCCCGCCTCTTGGCAGGCACCTGCGCCGCACGAACAAGCATACTGCCTCGAGGTAGCACGCGCCCCCTGCGAGGAGAACGAAAGAGGCTTCATATAACTGGCATTCACAGCTCTAGTCACTGAACCTCGGTACCTGAACTTGTCGGCTGGGCCATTGCAACACACGGGTGATACACACCCAGACAGTGGGACGTACCGTCCCCATGGAAGGTTCAACAGATAAGAAAACGTGGGGCTTGTCGCCCTTGCATTCCCTGCAACGCGGGGATGACCAGCTCCACTGCCTCGTCGCCCCCTCCTCCTCCTCCGCTAAAACACTTCCCTCTCCCACGCACCGGGCTAGGCCTCATATGAAGAAGAGGCCCTTGCAGCCTCTCCAGTCAGCCTGCGGTACCTCAGCTTTCGAAGCTGTCTGGTGGGCTCTGGAAACGAGATCTGGACGCCTTCCTTCAGAAGGACAGGCTTGCACGAGGCCGGCACAGAACTGCTCATGACGGCGCTGTTTTGGTAGCGGGCGATGTTCGTGCAGAAGCCTTGGCAGCGGCTCCAGCTTACCTTGCAGCAACCCCCGCGCGAGGTAGGCGGCAGCCACCCTTCGAAACCACCGAAGGTGAGCCTGAAGTATTTGGCGTTCTCGTGGGTGGTCCAGTTCACAAAAGCGTAACCCAAGCCGATCATCGTCGTGAACTTGACAGGCACGTACACGAAATCGAACTGCTTCGAATACCCCATCGCTTCTAACAAACGGATCAAATCGGCCGACCTGAAGGAAACAGGAATCCGCCACCGTTCCTTCGGAACGTTGGGGCCAGCCTTCTACACAAGACACTTCCTTTCATTACAGGTACCTCCCAAAATCACAACCCCAGAAACTCGCCACAAGAGAGTGCCAACAGGGTGTCAGAACCTCACCTGGCGTCGTCAACCTCCAGCCTGCAAAAGAAAAGGCTCTCTAAATGCTCCAAAACGTCCGAAAGAGGCCCCCAAATCCGGAGATCCATCCACCCCTTGTTGTGTAGCGCGTTGCAAATTCCCATGCGTGTGCTCGTCCGAGATAGGATCCGACCTACACGGGGGCACGACATCCCTGTCGAGATTACACTCTTTTATCAGATCATTGTGGATTTCGTACTGCTTTTGTTCAAACTAAACATGTCAATTATTGGTGCACCGGTGCGCCGTATGGGGAGACCGGTGTGGAAGATCTGTGAACCCCACCCGGCCCCTTGGGAAAACCACCGCAAACAACATATTGTTTCTGCTGGTTTCCCCCCCCTGATCCAGGGGGGGCGCTGGGGGGATCCGGGGGCGCACATTTAAAACAACAAAAAAACAACGACACAACCAAAAACAATGGTTTTGTATCTGTAGTCATTCGGGGGATCCCCGGGGGCGACCGAGGAAAACCCTCCAAATTGCAAGCCGGGGTAACCCCCCAGGAGCCCTCACTGATGTTTCCTTCGCTTGCTTTTTTTCAGTAAAGCTGCCCAACAGTTTGTGGAAGGTTTGTTTTTCGGGGGAACTCCCGAACAAAAAACCCTCCGGCCTCCGCCTGGCCCATCCTCGCTCCCCCCCAGACCGCGCCGTCGGCTCATTTACCCTCTATGCATGGCTGCTGCCTGGCGGGGCACACGATTGCGCGGCCGATGGCCCTCCTCCCCGCTAACTGGGCCCGGTCGGTTGGCTACGCGCCTCGCTGCTGGCTGCGCGCTGCATCCCCGTTGGGGGCGCGCCGCGCCGGGCAGCGACGCACCCCGCCGCCACCTCTGCCCGGGGGGACATGCGCCTCCAGACGCTGCGGAGGCAAGCGCTGCGATCCGAAGCGACCCCGCTCGGAGGCCCGGCCGCGCGCGCCCGCCCCGCCGCTCTCGACGCACTTCGCTTCGTCGCCCGAGAGGCCGCTTCCGCATAAATAAATGCGTGCGTGCGCGTGTGAATGAGTGGCTGAGTGTTTGTGGATGTGTGCGTGCGCGTGCGCGCGCGCGTCCGTCCGCCGCCCGTCGCAGCGCCTCCTGGGTCGGGCCGCTGTGCGTTCTCGCCGAAAGGGCGCGCGTGTCGAAGCAACGCGCCCCAATGCCAAACCAGCAAGACACGCCCAAATTCTGCTTACCAAGGGCAATGTCGAACCGCGGGCGCCCATTCCCCTGCAGAGCTCTGCGCCCCATTTCAGAAACGGAGGCGCCCCCACCCAAACCGACATGGGGGGTGGGGGGCTGGGGGCGCCTCGCCACTCCCTCGATCGGCCCATGCGGCTCGCCTGCGGTCTCGAGGTCAGTGGCGCTGAGGTGGTTCGTGCTCTAACTCGCGCAGCGAGCGTCGCGACGGTGTCGCGCGCGCGCTGCGCGCCATGGGCAGCGGCCAGCGTCTCCGCCGCGGACGCACGGCTGGTGCGACTTGAAGATTGTTTGGAAACGGCGATGCCTCGTCGCAGGAAGTTAAGAGCTCGGCCATCGTCTCTGCCCGCCCTCGGGGCCAACATCCCCCGACAAACGCTGTCGGAATGATGCAGACGGGACCGAGACATACGATTCTCCAAAATCCCCGCGAGGGGGCATTGGGACGTCGGACATCAATGTTGCCAGGCTTCGTCGAGGCTGGAGCCAAGCCGCGCGGGCCGATGTCCGCCCTGGTCGATGACAGCACAGGCTTGATCAACTCGTCAGCGGCCAGACATGTCAGCGACGTCATTGCCATTGCTGCCGTGGCTTCGCGGTGGAGGGCGCGGCGCGATTGCGCGGCGCGCGCGCGGCGGCCGCGGTGCCTGGTGCTGTGGAACACTGGGCCGCAGAATTCGCGCGGGCACCTGCCCTGCGCTCGCGCTTCCCACGCGCGACCTCGAGCTCCTCGCCGAGCACGTCGACATCCGCGGCAGAAGCCGTCCTGCCGATGCAGTGCCGTGAACCGCTTCTCCTCAACCTTAGTGCCTCCGTGCGGTCGGTGGGCTTTGGCCTGGGGGTCTGACCTCAGCGCCACTCCCGCTGCGTTCGCATCGGGCGTCGGCCGCGCCCCCCGCGCGCGCGGGGCGGCGGCCGCGGCGCTCGCGCCCGCTGCGACATAGCAGGCGAGGCAGGCCTCGCCTGAGAGATGTTAGCCGCCGATGACCGTTGGGGTGGCGGCGACTCTCTGGGCGTCGACGGTGATTTGCCATGGCTCGGCCGGACGAATCCCCCTGCTCATCTCGCGCGCATCCAGGGAGGTCGCTCTTGGGCGCGCCCCGCTGCGGCGAACTGGTCGACCCCGCAGCGCGCTTCGCCGGCGCGCGCGCCGGGCGCGTTGGCACGGAGCCCTTCCAGAGCAGATGTGCCCTTCGAGTGTCGCGCCCGGTTGGTTCTCTCTCGAGGCAATCGCACAACGCCGCGGTCGACGCCGCGTCGCCCACGACGCCAACTTGCATCCGCGCAAACACTTCAAAATTAAGCGTTGGCCAAGGGCCCCGGCGGACCGCCGACGCAGACCTGCGGCCGCATCCACGGAACAAGCGCGGCGACGAGCCCACGCATTGTGGAATGCCCAGCGTGGGTCACGCATGAGGGGCGGGGCGAGGATGTCCAAGAAGTTCTCTGCGCGCGCATTCGTCGTCGGAATTGTTTCGGCCAGCGCTTAAGGCGCGAGCCCGTTTCGGAGATGCGCGTTTTATTTTCTCGCCACGGGCGAAATTCGACCCGCGGACGGAGATCGTCTGAACGCGTCGCTTCCAAATGGGAATCCACGACGCCTGAGGCGAGGCACGCCCCGCGAACGGAATCGGGCACTCGCGGCCGCGCCGTCGGTCGACGTGGCCGCCTCGTGATCGACGCCGCGGATGCGCTCCGCATGAAGTGTCAATCAAACAAATATGTGGCGCGGAATTGCTTCGGATATTTCTCGGACGCGCACGGGGCGAGCCCTATCGCGCTAACGGAGCTGCCCGCAACAAATATGTGGCGCGGAATTGCTTCGGATATTTCTCGGACGCGCACGGGGCGAGCCCTATCGCGCTAACGGAGCTGCCCGCAAGGTCTCGCAACAACGGGTTTATCCGCGCCCCCCTGCCCATCGCTCTTCGACCCCCCCCCCCCCCCCCCGCCCCCCCCCCCCCCCCCCATCCTATTTCCATCGCCGCCCCCGACCATTCCCCCCGCCATCGCAAGTCGCCCGTCTCCCGAAGCGCAGACGCACCGCCCGCGCCAACGCCGATAATAATTCGTCTGGAACTGCGCCGCAGTCGCCCCCCTGCCAACGTCTCTGGCTATAGCAATTACACGGGCGGCCCAGCACTCCTCATTCTGCCGTCCAAACAGCGCATCCGAATGGAATGTTTGATCCTGGAGCGCGCTCGGAGATATCAGCGCGCGAGCGGTGCGCGCCATTTTCCCTCGCGGCAGCCGCCGGGCGCCATCGCCTCCCCCACCCTGGGCCGCCGCGCAGCTGACTGGCATTGCGCTTGCTGTATCGGCGCTCCACAACATGGCCATCGCCGCGCGAGTGGATCGTAGCAAACCAAAAGTAAAAATGACAGTTGAAGATCGATAGCATGGGCAATTGGGAATTTGCCCGCTACGTGTAGGATGGTCGGCGGACGCGCGAGTGCGCGCGGATTGGTGCGTCGGGGTTGGGGTGGCATCCTCTGTATTTGGCTCGCTCGTCGACGTTGTTGGCGCCCGCGATGTCCCGCGGGGTAAGTTTGCTGGTTCGCGGCGACCAGCTGCAGTCAAACTCTACTACAGGACGGGCGGTGAGGACACGCGGTCCCAGGACGCCAAAGTTGGCAATTTCTGGGCAGCGGACTGCCGGAGCCCCGAAGGGCTGGCCAGTGAATATCGCGAGGGTCGAGCCGCAGAGGCAAGGGCACAAGGCTACCCGAAAGACGCCCGTGTGACCTGACTGTGTTTAGACGGCATGAGCTGGATAGAATACCCTCGCAAAAGGTTGCGCTTGCCGGCTCAGCGGCGTCAGGGACGGGTAGGCGACTTCAACAGTGAGCCACGCGACGAAGCCGCGAAGACTGTGCAAATGGCTGCAGCCCGGGAGTCGCACGGGCAGATATCGTCACAGGGGCTGCGGGGATAGCCCCATCACCAAATCGGATGTAAACCCCATCTTCGGACAGGGTAGCGCGTCGGACATGCTCGCGCACCCCTTCGTGGGATCTGGGGGGGGGGGAATTGATGTCCCGCCGGCCCTGTGGACGACAGGTTGTCTAAGGAGGGTCTCTTTCCTCTTCCACGACCCCTCTTCCCTTCGGGAAGGGCCCCCCGCCCCCCCCCTTTTTTTTTCACGCGCGCGCGGGGGCGCGGGCGCGGGCGGGCGGGGCGGGGGGGGGCGATGTGTCAGGGGGTCTTTCCTTCGGCCCCTGGGGGGGCACATGTTTGACCTCGCAAGGATCGCGGGCCCCCGATTGGGGGGGTCTACATCTTAAACGCCCCTCTTTTGACCGACCGCCTCCAAAATGGCCCTGAGAGGCCCCCCCCCCCCCATGGCCCCCGAGAGGTCCCCAACGGAGCGCCGAGAGCGCCCGAAGAGGCCCCAAGAGGCCTCCGAGGGTTGGAGTTGTTTATGACTTCTACAACATCACCGCTGGCTCACAAGCTGGCAGCGCGGGAACTACCAGCAACACCACAAATGAACACTACTCTGACAGTGCGGGGCCTGGCATAGCGCACGCCCTGCAATTCATCAGCTAGAACTCGAAAGCGTCATAGTCGAAACTGTCGAGCGGGTCACTGTCGCCATCGGAACACTTCACGGCGCAC